CCGTGGAAGAGATGTGAATATGTAACATTCATCATTACAATAAAAACCCTCACATTTGGAGTGTACTATAATACTTTGAATTATCAACAGTCCAAGCTGGAAATCCTCCTGTTTGAGAAAGCTAAAGTAGAAAATGCTTACCCATAAATATGTCCCTTTACTATAGGACTAGAGTACAATAGTATATTGAGAGTGAAAGACTGTAACTACTTATCTGTGACTAAGAGACTGATTTTAACTAAATTTATTTCAAAGAAGAATTAAATTAAGTTTAAAATTTTACTGATCATAGAGACAAATAACTGGTTTGGGTGCTAAAATTCCTTGAAATCCTAATGGGTCTTTCTTAAAAGTACTTAAAGTGGCATTTAAAAATGAGTTGCTTTCTGAAAAAAAATCTATCTCCAAGAGCATTTCTTGCGCTAAGATGCAATTGCTACTTCTATTGAAATAAATAGGGCTCCAGAAAATTTAAATTTAGCTGGACCATATCCTCCTTTTAGCAGAAAGTTTACAATATTGCTAAAACAGATTTTGGCATGTATTTGGTACTGTTTATCATGAAATGTTATGAGATGTAACAATGTAACAATAAAACATAGATGTATTAAAATATCTTTTGGTTTTGGTGGGACAGGAAGAAACATAGTTAAAGTTATATTTAATGCTTCATTCTCAGAGAAAGCAGTAATTTTTTTTAATAATGAAATTTTTTTCAGGTGAAGTATGCTTTAAATTATTCATAATTTCACAAAACCTACTTTTCAACTAAGCTTTCTGAACAGATTTGATTTCCTTCTTCTGCATCTGATTTTGCTATTGTAATTTGGCTGTTGCAATATTATATACAGCTTTCTTAATAAACTAAAAAAATCTTTTTTTCAGATAAGAGCTATATTCTATGTAAAACAGTGGCCCACAACCTTTTTGGCAGCAGGAACCAGTTCTGTGGAGAAGTTTTTCCACAGACTGGAGGACGCATTATTTTACATGCTGCCTGTATCCCGCAGATGGGGCTTTGCTTGTTTGCACCGATGGCTGGCATGCCACGGACTGGTGCCAGTCCCTGGACTGGGCGTTGGGGACCCCTGATCTAAAACACTTTGTAAAGAAATGTTATTTTTGACAACCTGATTTAACATATTCTTTCTTACGTTTTATCAGACATTCCCTCTGCAAGTCTTCCCCAAATCATAGCCTCAAATCTCTGAAATTATGAAGTCATGCTAACTGGGATTATGAGTAATCATGAGTAGTAGTTTGGGGAGGCTCAAGTTTCTATATTTACTATATATTTATATTTACTCATTGCACTTGGAACCCAAAACATTTGTATCTCTCAATTTTATCCCAACAGTTTTCGGAGGAAGGTTGCTTGAGAACAATTGGCTTATTGGGAGTTTCAGTAAATCCAGCAGGATATTCGGCCTTTCTCCCCACTGGGCCTCATTCAATGGACCACAATTCCTGTGATCATAGCACTCTTTAATCTTCATACAACACAGCATGGGAGTCTGGGAAATAATGTTCTTCCTTGGGAGGATGGGTAACTGGTCTTCTCTCAGGATCTGATGCCAATGTTGCCTTCTCCACAGGGTGGGCAAATCTGCCCTGATGAACCAGTATGTTAACAACCGCTTCAGTAGCCGCTTCAGAGCCACCATTGGAGCGGACTTCCTCAGCAAGGAAGTACACATTGATGGCCGCACCCTGATAGTGCAGGTAGGACTGATACAAGGCAGACTACTGACTACCCTTTGATCAATGTTAATGTTCTCTTCCCATCTCAAGAGAATCTTGCATATAACCCCTCACACACAAAATGGTACCAGCAAGCCAGGCTAAATATAAAAAAATGATAAGGGGTAAGAAGAAATGCAAGTAAAAAAAACTATAGTTTTGGGGGAAGGGGAAGGAACCCACAATAGTCCCATAATTAATTGGGTATTCAATGTGTTCACAGTAGTGACTGTTGAACTGTGGATGGCAGAAAATTTAAAAGTTAAAGCTCAACTTTTTTGTTGTTTTGTGAATTGGGAAGCTCCATATTAAATATTTTTGTGGAAAGATTCCACTTGTCTCAATTTGTAAGACAAAAAGAAAATGTGCTATACATTATGACTCTGTGACCTTCATCAGAAAAGGCATGTATATTATCAGAACAGATATCCATATTTTATCAGATGCCTCTAATATACAAAAGTGTCCTCCCTGTAGCATTGTTTTGCCATTGGAAATATTCTTCAGCTGCTAGATGTACTGTAGATATAGAATCAATAGTAAACGTACATGCTTCCTTCATTTTCTTATACACAGTATGGCAATCTCAAGTGATAACCTAATTCTTGGAAACTTCAGTTTTAGTATCTACTAGCTTAGCTGGCTATGCTGGTTGTGGCACATGGAAGTTATGATATACCACCTCAGGAAGTTGGATCTACTTAAAAATGCTTAGTTTACACCAAGGGCTTTATAGCTGTCAAAGCAAAGGAAGCAGTTCAAGAAAAGCTTTCATTGCATGTGTTGTAACTATTCTCTGAGCTAACAGTAACAATTGCCCCATGCCAGATTTTATCATTAAATATCAAAACTTGGAACCACAAGCTAACATTTCACTAGAGCATTGAAAAAAGGCGTAACATTCCTAAACTAAATATATCATCAGCTAATTGTTTTGAGGTCTAGCTTAAGGGTGTCAAACTTGTGTTGTCATGTGACCTATCACAACTTTCCCACCTTCGCTAAACCGGACATGGGCGACACATCCAGCCCGCAAGCTGCGAGTTTGACAGCCCTAGTCTAGCTTGACCAGTCTAAGTGTATGGGACCTTTCAAAAAACTTTTTCATTCTGCATTAAAATGTTCATGGCAAAGACAATTTAACTCATCCTGTAACGATGCACTTTCTCATTTTGCCCACTTAAATTCCTCAGTACTTGATCAATCAGATCTTCTCTCTTTCTCCCTGCCTCAAGATCTGGGATACAGCTGGTACAGAAAGATTCCAGGCCCTGGGAACGGCCCTTTATCGGGGCTCCGACTGCTGCCTGCTCGTCTTTGATGTCACATCCCTCTATTCTTTTCAAGCCCTCGAGAAGTGGCACAAGCAGCTCTTGTTGCAGATTGAGCCAGAGGAAGAACCTACTTTTCCCATTGCCATTATTGGAAACAAGACTGACCTGGAGAACCGTGAGGTACATACCGAACACACGGAGAGGATAGATTGCAGCTTCTGTGCAAGAACTCCTGCAGCACCCAACTTAAGAATGAAGGGCTGTTTTAAAGACTAGGAACAGGGGCTTGTATATAGTGTTCCTACAGTCTTGAATGAAGAATCTGGATTGGTTTTGATGGCAGAGGATGCAGATACAGAACCTAAGGGGGAGGTTTTACATTTGTAGGTTCTATTTTTAGTTTTAAGGTTGCAGACAGGATAGGGAAGAGGGCAAAGTATATGAAGGTATCCTGTCTTTAAGCAGGTTTCTTCAGAGGAAGCTGAAATGTGGAGCAGGCTTCATGATGCTACCTACTTTGAAACCAGTGCCAAGACAGCTGCCAACGTGCAGGAGGTGTTCGAGTGGGCCATACGGGCTGTACTGAAGAACGTAAGGAATGCACTCCCCCCATTTCCAAATTTAAAAGCTTTAAAGCACGGCTATTCCGTTTTATAACTCCTGGATAGCCCAACAGTATGCCATCAAAATATGCTAGCAAAATTAATAAGCGAAACAGCTTAAGGCAGTAAGAATGCCTCTTTAGGCTGAAAAAAATATTGATACTATTAAATAATATGCTGCCTCCAGCTACAATAGGTACTACCTATGCTTTTAAGACCACATTCTTTGTGATAAGAAGCAATACCTACATCAAAGCAGTGCTCTTTTCTCACTTGTGCTGATCACTTTGTTTCATTTCAGCGCAGGGTACCTGAAGAGCCAGAGCTCAACTCTGTTCACCTAGAGACCAAGCCGTCAGAAGGGACACACCGGGAAAGGTGTGGCTGCTGATGAGCCCAAAGGCAGATGGGAAGATTTACTTTTCACGGCAGATCTTTGACATGATGCAATGAATAAGAACAGGAAGTTACCCCATAGTGAAGTAACAAGATTCTGCCAACCCTGCAGTCTGGACTTTGGTAGTTGGATCCCATAAGATTTGTGGCCTTCTGGAAGAGAGCCTTTATAATGGAAGGACCTAGATTGGGTGTTGAATAGTCTTCAAACATATGGAAATAAACCTCAATCTGATACTTTTCAGTGACAGAAAATGGGCATCATTTAGTCCTTTCTCAAAGTGAAACGGCTATAGAAAACTTGACCACAAACACTTTGAAGGGAGAAGATGAGGGAAAGAGTTCTTTTTCCAAACATCAAGTCTTGTTTCCAAAAAAAAGTCTTTAATTGTTCAAAATAGCACAAAAACGACAGATACGCAGCACTGGGGGTGGGTGGGTGGGGAGGTCAGGGTGGATAGCCAGGGTAAACTCCTATGAGGGCTGTTCCTGTCTCAGTGGAAAATAAATCGGGTCAAATATAGGAAGGACAGAAGGAATCTTAAGGACTGAACAGGAAAGTGGGACACAGCGAAATATACTATAATACAAAAGACCAGGGCACAGAGCAAGGGAGGGAGGTTTGCTCATTGGGGGTATTTTCTGAGGGCTAGTTTGTCTACCAATCTCAACACAGCAAACGGTGCACGTGGGGGGGGGGAGGCATTTCTTCTGTATTCCATAGAGCTCCCCTAACTCTACAGAGTAAGCCCTGTTGCTTCCCCCACCCTCCCCTATGTGGAATGTCCCAAGACAACCAGTGGGGGGGAAGAGGGGAGGGAGCATATATTTCTCTACAGAGAGAAACCTAAACTCCTACCCCATGCAGTGGAGAGTTGTATGTCAAGAATATTGCCCTCCAGCCTTGCTCTCACCTAAAAGCCTCTGGTGGATCAGCTACATTCTTCCCCCCCCCCCCCCCCCCCCCCAAGCACTTTTTTTCTTAAAAAAAGTTTTATACAAAACAATGGAGAGGAATGGCAAGACATCTGCCTATAGCATGCCACCTTGTGGCCTGGAGGCAGGAAGAGCAAAGAGAGAGAACACACCCGGCTTGTGCTGCTAAGGAGGGGCTGTTCCATGTACAGGGGAAAAAGGAGGGGTGGGGGGTGGATTCAAGCCACAAACACCCTGCGCTGAGCATTAGAACAGCTGCATGAGCCCCTTCCCTCCCAATGTTCAAAGTAGCTGCATCTGTGGCCAACCATGTCGCCTCTTCTCCATCCCCACTAGCAGGGACTTCTCTCCATTACCAAACGCAGACACTAAAAACTAAACTGAGGAAGAGGGTCTGTACAGAGGCAAGAACTGGAGGCAGAGAGATCAAGTCTCCGACCCCCAACGCACAGGGTTTCAGGGGAATACAAAAGAACTTCATTCCTGTAACTGCAACTTGTAAAAAAACCCAACAGGCCCCCCTCCCCCCCCATAACAAGTTTTCCCTCAAGCCCACCCCAAACATCAACGTCCATGTTATTGGGGCAGTAAGCAGAGGGTGAGGGAGGACTTCCCATTCCTTCTTCCCCCTTCCTAGGTGGGGTATGGCACAGTGATGGCCCTGCTTGGGGCTCCCTCACATGAGCCTCAAGCATCTCTTCTCCCTACCCCCCACCCCCACCCCAACAGTTCATCCCGTGTGGTGTATATGAAATGTGCTTTCGGCAGTTCCATCTTCCTCCATACACAGGGTGACTGGCTGGCCGGGGGAGTTCAGGCAGAGGCTTTGGAGCAGGCAGGAAGAGGGGACGGCTGGTGACTCCCTTCACTGCCCATCTGCTTTGGGCTTCTTTGGAGCACTTTTCCTGGAAGATGCAAAAGAACAGTTAAGGTCCAACTTCTTGCTTGGTCATGAATGCGATGCTCTCCCTGGCCAGAATACCGGCAACGTTCAAATTTTCATTCCCTGGAATTGTCCACTCCTATCAGTACTTGCAAGCAACCAACTTCTTAATCTTCATCTCACCCTTTTTATATACAACTCAATGGCTAATATGCCTAATACTCCTTCCTCCTCCTGTTTTACACCCAATAAGCACCTGGTGAGATGGTCTGGGCTGAGTGACTGACTAGCCCCAAGTCTTCCAGCCAGTTTTCATGCATAAAGGTGGCCCAGAACTCAGTCTTCTGGTTTCTAAGCTACTACCTTAAATGCTACACCAACTGCCTCTCATCTCCAAACAGCTTAGCTCCATAAAAGAAAATTTATGAGGTATTTTTTTCCTCCCAAAATGACTGGGCATATATATTCCCTTCCATAACCCACCACAACTCTACAACGGAAACATGAAGGCTGAAATAACAATTTGATACACCAATCAATACTCACAAATCAGAAGATGAAAGCGGCCGCTTGTTGGTTGGTTTTGTCATAGATCCATCTTTACTGGATTCTGTAAAGATAAAAGTGCATTACGCACATCGAAAACAAAGACAAAACATTGCCTGAATCCAATTGAATCATTATATGAATGTGAACTATTTATAAATCATGATATCCAATAGGGATAAAACTAGGAATAAAATACAACTGAATGCTGACATGCGAAAAAAATGGGTAATTTTATTCTGACTTTCAGTCCTTTAGTTATACTATTAGAATTTGGCTTGCTGAGCATGTCTCTACTGCTGAACTCTGTAAACCTATCTTCCCAAGCAATTTATACTGCAACTGGTGCTGAAGATACATTTTCAGTCTGGATGGTGAGATTCACATATTAGACATGCCAAATATGATACATTCCCGAGTAGGAATTGGCAGAAATATCTGACAAATTCATCAATTCTTATTGATTAAATTCAATAAAATAATATTCTAGAACTTTGAATGAGACCTTCCCATTTAATTATCCCCCCCCCCCCCCCCCCGAAATGTCAACATAAAGATCCAGCCTGGATCTAAGAGGCAACACGGCAGATTTTCTTCATTTGCAAACCAAGGCTCAAAATGGGGAAGTGAATGGTGTGCAGATATTTACAAGAGTCTGAGACCTGGTAGCAATTCTTCATCTTGTTGACAGGTTTAATTTAAAGAGCCTGTCTTCCCACTCATATGCTGTATTCCTCCCTCCAACGTCCCATCACAACCGCTACTCACCTTGAAGCCACCGAACTTGTGTGGCGGGACCATAGCCCTTCTCGTTGCGGGCAGCAATCCGGAAAATAATGGCAGGCTTTGTGGTGTAGTCTATATGGGCATTGGAGAGACTAGCTGACTGGACCAGACACGAAGGACTGGGCCCACAGTAAACCCGCATGAAGGCCAGCTGGGCAGGTGCTGCACTCTTCGGTTCACCCGCCTGGGGACTCTGGATGGCCAGATACACTGAGTATTCTGTGATTTTTCCAGAGGTGACTGAAGGTGGTTCCCAAGTCAAGTGGGCCCCATCCGGACTCTGTGTTAGAAACACATAAAAAGGTTGAAAACCATGATAGCCAAAAGGCATTGCAGCAAGAGTGGGAGACAACAAATGCAACAAACATTATTCAGTTACCCCAACCCAAACAGGGAGATGAATTAACGGGACTTTAAAAACAGAAAAAGCTCTCACTTTACTGATTTTAATGGCACAAGGTGCTCCAGGAAAACCAGGCAAACAGGTCTTGAATGCTGAGATTTCACTGAAAGAGCCTCGTCCACAGGCATTAATTCCTGCTACTCTGAACTTATAAGCAGTACCAGGCTGTAGCTCCTGCTTCTTGAATTGAGAATAATCAGGAGTAGTTCCTGAATCATCCTGCAGAGGACAGAAGAGAGTGGGAATAAGACATCACGATTATCTTGATATTATGGGAATGACAGAAAGATACGTGGCAGCAAAAATTTGGATCTTTACAGTGAAAATAAGGCAATTATAATATATTCTTGCCACTCACATCTGTAGCAGGTGCATCATCAGGCGGCAGGAAGTAGTGTGTCACCACCATGTTAGTTGCCTTGACAATACCCACATCAAACCACTGATTTTCCTTCTTCACAACCACTTTTGGAGGCTGTGTGGGAGGCTCTGGTTTCTAGTGAAGAATGGATAATTCAAGGTTAACTTTAGAAAACTTGCAAACTCATTCCTTAAATTCCCACCAATATTTTTTTTTCTTACCACTGGAGCTGGTTCAATCCCATTAGCAACTTCTGTCAGGGCAGCTGCTGCCTGCAATTTTGCCGGGCTGGCTACTACTACAGGCTGTGGGGCCACGAAAGTATTTGAAGGAGCAAGGCCTGAATGAGGGAAAGAATTTCAAAAACGTCCATGAGATCCCTGATCCCCAACAATATTGATCCATGTCTAAAACTGGAAAGAAAAGACAGGCAACAGAACCAAGTCCCAATTTAACTAAAAGACCCACAGAATCTCCAAGGGTAATAAGTGTCTTGACAGAGCTGGAACATAAAATTATCCCATGATCAAACAATTGTGTTTAGCTACCAGGAAAACCCAATACAGCTTTGCTCAGACACTTGTCTCAAACAAGGGAGCAGGGGGCCCTCCCTTTTACCCTTGGCTAAAAAGCACCATTGTAAGGAACACCTTGTCACTGAGCTGTGGCACCTCTCCTTACAAGTGGAAACAAGCTCTTAAAAGGCCACTGCCAAATAAAATCGCAGTCATCTTTGCCTCACTTACTCTCTGTGGGAGTGGGAGGTAACAGCCCAACCGTGCTGGTCACTGCACTAGCCAACTCATTGAGGCCATTGCTCTCACTGGCAGGATCATTAAGGCTATCAGCAGGAGCCAGAGCTTCTGTAGGCAAGTGGGCAGGCAACTGATGCTGAGGAGGTGGCGGCTGCTGTTGCTGCTGCTGCTGCTGTTGCTGAACGGCAGCTGCCGCCGCCGCTGCCGCCTGAGCCTCCTGAAGCTGCTGTTGTTGCTGCTGCACCAGGGCCGCCAAGTCTTGCTGAGTCAGCACGATGGGGATGGCAGTGGGCTGTCCTTCAGGGCCCTCTGAACTCAGGTGGCCTAGTTCAGCCTGTGTGGCTGCTGCCTCTGAGGTATCCATGGCTTCTCCAGGACCTGTTCAAGAAAGAAAAGAGCTAAATCGGGCATGTCCAAGTCACAGCCTGTATGAGGCCCTGGATGGCTAATAATGCAGCTCTACAGGGTAGAAAGTATATATAATCGACTGTGTGTGTATAATACATACATACATACATATATATATAGTATATATAATCTTTCTTTTTTAATAATAAACAATATAAAAAAGCAGGATTTTTTATACATACAATCTATATTATATATTTTTGTATGTGGCCCAAGATATTTTCTCCTTCCTCAATGAAGACCAGGCAAGCCAAAAGAACTCTTATGGGCTAGATGTTTACCTAAGACCCAAGAAAGGTGGCAAGGTCTTTTCACCAAGGACAGACCTGGCTGACTCATGTGGTGAGTGGAGAAGATTCCAGAGAGGGAAACAGAAGGCTACAAGTACTCACCCATTACAGCCTGCTGGGCTGCTTGCAAGACCGCCTGGATGGCCAGGGCTTGTGCCTCTTCAGTGGCAGCAGCTTGGGCAGCAGCCTCTGCAGCAGCTGTTACGGCTAGTTCCTCAGGAGTCAATCCTGTCACCATCAAAGTGGTGGTGCCCGCCTGGCTCTCCGCCATCAGTTCCTGAGGCAATGCTAACTGCTCCACCTCTGAGGACGGCGGAGCCGCAGGAGTGGCCTGGGGAAGCACCACCATAGCCACAGACTCTTGGGTGGGGGCTGCTGGTGTGGGTGGTGCCTCTTCAGTAGGAGGGGCAAGTTCTGGATGGGAAGCAGGTTCACCCAGAGGGCCTTCGGTTGGCGGCGTGCCAGCTGAGGCGATCTGTGCTTGCCCCTGAGGCTCAGGGGTTGCAACTGCGGTCTGCATCTCTATGGAGGGCTGCAGTGGTTCGGAGGGTGCCGGAAGGGAATCTGTGCTGGTGGCATCAGGAGTCTCAACAGGGGGAACTGCCTCGCCTGCAGGGACATCAGTGAGCGAGGAGATGTTCTGCAACAGGAAGGATGGATAGAAAGGTGTAATGTGTGAATTCTGGACCAGGCAGCATTGAGTCTACCACGAACACTTTTTATACAAACACTAGGGCCTAGGAGCATCTCCACTGGATCGGGTTAAAGGCTCAGCTAAACCAGCCGTCTCCACTGAGAAGGCACCATGTATCACTTCTCCTTAAATCACTTCACTGTTGTGGTTAATACCTCTTCTATCACATTCTGCTCTTTTTCTTTGCCATTATCCTATCCCTCCCCCCGCCCCCAAGGAATGCTGTTTCTTCTTTGAGGATTCTGAGAGATATATTTGGGGAAGAGATATTACATTGAGCCAAATTAAACTGATTTTGGGGGGGTGTATATGTGCACACATATTTGTGGAAACAGCAATATTTACATCCATTTATATCTACGTAACATATTTGGACTAAAATGAGCCAATTACGAGGAACTAGAAACACTGCTGCTGAGGCATGTAGACAATTTGAAGCAGAAATCTTTCTTTCTAGTCTGTAATATGAAGTGACCGGTATAAGCAATGGAAGGAAAGCAGAAATATTCGGGTTAATATGATAATCCTGTGTCTGCTGAATGCAAACTGCCAACATTTTGTTTTCCTAGAGATTCAACAGACTTAAGATCAGGAAAGGTTGCCAGGAATAACTCCATCTCCTCAAAGCCAGCTATAGAATCATCTAGGGAATCTCAATTCTTGTCTGGCATGAACCAAAGAAAAAAGGAAACAAGATCCAGTTCCTCCGCTAATTCTCACCGGTACAGAAGGCCCTGGTGCTGGCGTGGACTGGGTGACGGTAGTGACAGCTCTGATTTGAGTGGAGGAAACTGTGGTCACCACAGCAGAATTGGGGCTGCTAGCAGCTGGACTCTCGGTCACCGGTATCTCAGGTTCCCCTTGTTGCCCATTGGTAGCAGGTGGCTGATCTGCAGAAAGGAAACAAGTTACACAGTGAAGACAAAGATGCAAGAAAGGGTCTTTGGTTGTGAGAATCCACTGAATTTTCAGGATTTGAAATAGTTGTTTCAAAAGATTGAAACTTGAAACAAAACGTTCCATATTTTGGGATACACCCCCAAACTTTGTTGCTTCATTCCATAATGAGTGCTTTAATATATAGAAAAAGTGACTTGAAGCTCAACTTCTTACTTTGTCATTCTAAAGTTACAAAATAGAAAATGTGTGGTAGATCCATTTGAGAATTATCTACCACCTGACTGAGAAAATCTGATCAAGTGGATATCTAAAACAAAACTTAGTTCTTTAGCAAACTTAAAAATGTTAGGTAAGCAGAAATAAAGACATTTTTGAAACCTGTCTGCACAATGTTTAAACCAACATCCCGAGTCAGACTGTTTTAAACTGAAAATAAGATACTTGTTTGTTTTGTGAAGAATTTTGTGGCAAATTCTTACTATTTGCCTATCTCATTCTTAGGTAGCAAGTTGTTCATTAGAGAACAGAATTTTTCTAGGGCCAAATCTCACACACTTCTTAAAATTGGAAAAAAAGCCTTGCACAAATTTTTAAGTGAGGAATATACATGCTATAGAAAATTCTGGGCTATAGTTTGAACAGGCACCGAGAGAAGTAAAGAATGCTATCCAGATAAACCCATTTTTCAGTAATTGTACTTTGTACGGGATGATTGACAGCAGTGAGGACAATATTTTTCAGAGATACCGGATTTAGTTTTATCTATGCCCCCAAAGAATTACAATTTCAAAGCAGCTATTATAGAGCTACGAAACTTCTGAATACATGCAGTGCTTGATTATAGTGATTCTAAAACAAGGATAAATAAAAATTCTAAAGGTAGATAAAGAAAAATACAACTTAGTAAAACTTATTTATTTTTCGGGATACAATATCATATAATATGATGCTATTATGAATTTCCGCTTTCAATGCTGGCTAAGGAACAACAGTGTGTCTGAAACAAGCCAAGACACACCGCAAACAATTCTGTAAAATTCTCCAATCTACAACAGGCCCATGCAAGGCACTGATCACAAATCAGGTCTCCCAAACATTTTGTGAACCGTGTAGCCTAAATTATTCAGTTCATTTCCAAGCGCACACTGTTAAAGAATAATATTGCCCTGTACCATTAAAAGTACCGAGGAATCCCTGAGGTTACCCAGAGAAGTCTGAAAATCCCTATATAAGAACATAAAGCATGTTTCTAATACCCATCCTTAGTGTTCGTTTACCTTGGTTGGCACCCATGGAAGAAGTAACTGTGGTGGCAGTATGGGTGGTTCCCGTTTCATGGGTCTCACAAGGAGGGTTTGAGCATATTCTGGGTGTTGAGCTCTGAGGCAAAGATCCAGCAATCCCCGGGGGTTCTCTCTCAGGAGATTTTCTCAGTTCTGAGTTGCCACATTGTGCTGATGCTGAACTGGAAGACTGAGCGCCATCACCTCCTATGCTGGGTGTCATTGTGGTGCTGGTGGAGTTGGTTTGCTGTGTTTCACAGGGTGGAGTAACAGCGGGGTGCTGGTGCTGGGCACCTTCATTTTGTTCAGCTCCCAGGTTTGATGTGGTAGTGGTGGCTGTGTTCGTAGTACCAGTCTCATGAGTCTCACAAGGTGGATTCGAGCACACCTGCTGTCCCACGGCTATGTTGGAAGTCGCTGTCGTGGCTGTGTTGGTGGTACCCGTTTCATGAATTTCACAAGGTGGATTGGAGCACACCTGCTGGGTAGCACCCTGGTTTGATGTCGTTACGGTAGCTGCATTTGTGGTACCCGTTTCATGAGTTTCACAAGGTGGATTGGAGCACGCTTGAAGATTTGTATCCTTGGTATCCGTGCTATGGGTCTTGCAAGGTGCACTTGACTGAACTGGCACATCAACTTTGACAGACATGGTGGTGCTGGTAGAGTTGGTTTGCTGTGTTTGGCACGGAGGGTTGGCAGATCCCACCCATTCGCCATCTGGCTGCCCCTGGCCCATGAGGGACCGAGCTGTGGTGGCAGTATTGGTGGTATGAGTATGATGGGATTCACACTGGACTTTTTTCAGGGCTTGTGGTCTTTCATTGCTTTTCTCTACGGTAGCGCCAGAGGCAGCACTAGGGGAGCCAGCACTAGGGGAGCCAGCAGCTGGCACGAAGCTTGCAATTTGAACTGCACACGGATGTTCTGTGGGAATATCTGTTTTTGTTGTCATGGTAGTGCTGGTGCTACCTGTCTGCTTTGTTTGGCATGAAGTGTTAGTCAATTCCTTCTGTCCGTCATCAGGTTGCCCTTGGCCCATGTTTGAGGTGGTGGTGGTAGCAGTGTTTGTAGTGCCAGTCTCGTGGGTTTCGCGGGGAGGATTGGAACACACTATCTGGCCTGTACCTACAATGGGCTTTATTGTCATAGTGGTGCCAGTGGCGCTGGTCTGGAAAGTATGGCATGGTGGCTCTGAGGGCGCCCTCTCTGTTTTGGAGGTGGTGGCTGTATTGGTTGTGCCAGTCTCATGAGTTTCACAAGGTGGATTGGAACATATCTTCTGCCCAGCACTCAGAACAGTGGTTGCTGTGTTGGTAGTACCAGTCTCATGCATCTCACAAGGAGGATTGGAGCATATCCGCACCAGTCGACCATTGGGCTGAAGGCCACCACCTTCCTGCCCATCACACACAAACTGTAACTGAGCTGGCCCACCCAAAGTGCCCACAACTGTGGTCGTAGCTGTGTTGGTTGTGCCAGTATCATGTGTTTCACAGGGTGGATTGGAGCACACCAGTGTAACAGTGTTTGGCTGTGACTCTCCTTGCCCCGGCTCAGCGATGGTGACTGTGGCTGTGGGCTGCTCTGTGGTGGGAGAGGCCAAGATAGAAACAGGCAAATCATGCACCGGCTGGGCCTCTACACCGCTGGGGGTGGTAATCAGGGTGACTTGAGTAGGTTGAGAAACAGGCTAGGGGGAGTGAAACAAATACACATAGGTTAGCAGACAGACTCCTAGTCAAGAGACATATCTAAATCACATATAAGATTTACAGGCATTCTGTTATGCAGAAGAGTATGGCTAACTATATTTTAGGCTGCAGGCATTACAAATTATCTTTCATGTGTAAAGTAAATAGTCCTTGCACTTATAAAAGCTACAGCTACATCATGGAGAAATATGAATTTAATAACCCTCTGCAAAATATCCACACAGTGCATTTATACGTGCAAGAAATATACTCTGGGGAATATTTAAAAATATATCTCCCAAGTACTTTCATTCTGATGCAGTCTAGTATAGAATTCTGCAATCTGATTTTTAAAAATCTATTTTTAATTCCTTTACCCATCACTTCTCATTCTTTTTCGGCACTTTGTACAATACTGCTTACCCTGAAAGGGGCTATAGTGTGATGTACGTACACAAGCATTTATGGAGAAGCAGTATTTTATATACTAGCATTATAAAAGTCTGCAACAAGATTAAAGATGCAGATTAAAATACATACTTTGATATAAAGTAATTGGAGACACAGATCTTCATGTGATCTTGATGATAAAGATCTTGTAAAGAAGCCCATGACTCATGTTAGATAAAAAAGAAGGGCACAGCAATTTGTCTAATCCCAGGACAAAAGCTCTCACCTGTTTCAAATGCTAGCTATTCTTGCCCAATACAGAGAGATGCTCATGACATGCATGCTGCCTGTTTCAAATCAATACATGCTGATACCTAAGGTAACTACTAGGGTTCCCCCCACCTCCCCACAATTCTCATGACATCTATGAATTGCAACAGAACGGCTACTTTGTACTGTTTTAGAAAAAGGGTATTGTATTGTAAGAAAAGCAGCCTGGTTCTCTAGATAGTTTGAACTGCAATTCCATGGTCATTGGCCATGTCTGCTAGAGTTATAGGATTTGAAGTCCAAGGCATCTGAAGGGTACTAGCTGACTATCCTTTCCAAACAAGAGTTATCAGGAACATCAAGTCCTGGATAATAGTTAAAAGCCAGTAAGAAACCTCAGACAGGAAAAATCCAACTGTTCGGGTACACAGTCTCTTCCAACTACATCCTTTTTACAATATGTTCCCTTCACACAACCCTGCGTCATTTTCAGGCTTGTAAGAATCCGGTTTTCATATATTGCTTTTAATAGCTACCAGTCCTCTTCCTCTAGGAACCCTCTAGGAACCATCATCCTTTTTTCTAACCATAATCAGACCCACTCTACTACATGAAGAGTCTCAATTAATAGCCAACATCATAAACATAAACATCATTCTTTGAAACCACCTGTGTCAACATCTATCACCACATTTCATGCTGCAAGTTTATCGTGGGCTATGTAGAGCACCACGCTGTCTTGAATGTAGTATGCATCATTTTGTTGGGAAACATTGCTTGCCCAAACCATACCTGCATAGTGATGGTGGGAGTGGTGAGGCCTCCTGCTGCTGTCAGGGTTGTCTGTGCTGCTGAGACAGTGATGGCAGCTGGGTTGATGACCTGGCTGGAAAGTGTGGCAATGGTCCCCAAGGTGGTAATAGGTGTAGCCAAGGAAGCATTAGTATTGTGTGCCCCAGTTCCAGCTAGGCTTGTTGAGACTGTGCCTGTTACAGTGCCTAAGGTTGTAACCCCTTAAAAGATACAAAGAAAAAGAAAACCTTAGAGGGGTAAAACTCTGTTAAGACAGAGGTCTCATTCTCGCGGCCCGCAGGCCAATTGCGGCCCGCAGGACGATATTCTGTGGCCCCCACCGTGATATGAAAGTATAATATTAGTGCCGCCCGCAGGGGGAATGGACCTCTGAACGTTTTTTGTGGAATCCCTTATGCGGCCCAGCCTCACCCAGACTCTGCCTCCAGCGGCCCCCAGGTAAATTGTGTTTGAGACCCCTGCTGTAAGAGGTATCCAGGTTAATTTCAGTAACCTTAGTACATAGAAACATGGGCTCTGAAGTTCCTGGTCACATTTCTAGGCCATATATCTGTAGACTGGCAAAAATACATGGTTAGCGGCAGAGGTGGTATTCAGCAGGTTCTGACCAGTTCTGGAGAACCGGTAGTGGAAATTTTGAGTAGTTCAGAGAACCGGCAAATCCCACCTCTGACTGGAGATTTCACAGTATCGTTACCCTGCCACGCCCACCAAGCCACTCCCACATAACCGGTAGTAAAAAAAAATTGAATCTTACCACTGGTTAGTGGGCCAGTTTTGCAGCACACAGAGGATCCTGTGCGCTGGGAAGATGTCCATAGGCCCTAAAACCTGTCAGTTTAAATGCTGATGCACTATGGAAAGCAAATGCACTCAGATAACCTCTAAATCCATTAATTCTTCCTCCAGCTTAATGCTTTTACCTGTTGTTCCTTTCACGACCAAAGTGGTAACAGTAGGCTTGACTGCAGACACAGTGACAGGGGTAACAAGTCGTACTCCACCCATAGGGACAGTTCGCAAGATTGTGCCAGGTTGTCCTGGTGCTCCCTTAAGCACTACCTATGAAAACACACATTTTTCATATTAAACTGTTGAAGTCAGAACAGGGCTTCTAACATCTCTCAACCTGTCATCTAGCTCACCTGTGTAACGCTTTGCTGTCCATGACTTGTGGTTAATTTGGGTACTGCTGTAATGATCTTGGCGGGTGTACCAGTGCCCGCGGTCATCACTTTTGTGGTGATAATGGTGATGGGAGACTTAATCCCAGAACTACTAGTAACACCTGAAAATAAAAAATAGAATACGAATACACACACACATTCTCTTTCCCCACTCCCAACAACCATGCTGTGATCCCACTGGTTGATGTACAACCCAATGGTCCACAGACTTATGAAACAGGATGATAACTGCTATGGTAAATCAAGTTCCATTTCTTACCTGTGCCACCTGCTTGTGTAATAATAGCTGACATGGGGATGGTCTTGATAATAGTGGTGGTATTAGGCTTTGTTGTGTTGGGTGACACGCTGCTGATGCCCAGGATAGTAGGCTTAGTACCTGTGCCACCTGCCTGAGAGCTGGTGATGATTGTGGTGGGCTTGCCATCTGCTGAAGTCACTAGTTTTAGAATAGTGCCAGCAGGTAGAGGCCCTTTGGTCTTAAGAGGGAACATAAAAACAACAACACAAGAATCAGAACAATGCAGGGCGTCTCAATATTCTTGCCTTTCACAAGCTGAAAACATATTAGAGGGGAAAAAATGGTGGGCAAAGAAAAAGAGGCATATAGGCAATTGGGGTGAGAATGGCATACACCCTAGGACTGGGGTTACATCTCGCATTGCTCCTCCATTGTACGTTCTTACCTGGATTATCTGAGTCACAGGACCAGTTGATGCTTGGCCTGTTACAGCTGATGTCTGGACTGGTTTGGTCTGCACAACAGACATCACTTTTCCCAAATTGGAAATCTGCTCCCCCCCAGAGAAAGAGAGAAAGTCTGCTTTAAGACTCCTTACATCTTCTAATATAAAGGGACATGGTCCCCTTCCTCTAATTCACTCAGCAATTATGTAACCAGCAAAACATCCAGCAATCATTTATGAGTAGCCTGTTTAGTTTTAGTTTACTTTATTGTCATTGCACCTCATACAACAAAATCAAGCACCATCTTCAGTGTACATCATGACCATGAAAATAAACACAAAACACACTGTTAAATGAGAGCATCTGCTCAGCATTACATAAAAAAAGCTGAGGGCTCACTGAAAATGCTAACTTATATGAAGAGCAAGTTGACAGAAAAAAAGCCTCCATTTCCAGCATCCTCTCTTAAACCCCTATTCAAAAGAGTTGTGCTTACCAATGCACTTCCTCCAGGCACAGAGATAGGGCTTTTCACCAATGTGATGGTCTTCGTTACCCCACCCACTACGGTCGTCATCACCTGGGCCTGCTGTGCTACAGTGACAGTGCCTGATTTGTGCACGGTGATGATGGGCCGGGTAGGTGTGTTAGTGGTGGATGAAGAGACTGAAGTGCCCACCTGGGCAGCTGCTGTCTTCAGCATGCGGGTGGCCGGATTGCTCACCTGTTTGTTTAACAAGGTCAGTATTTAAAAAGAAAAAAAGCATCTTATAAGAGTCTGTGGAGGCAATATGAATTCTCACAACTTTTTATTACAGATAGAACATGGTCCAACAAATCAGGCATGATATTCCCCTCTGAAAAAAAATAAATCTGAAAAGTAGCCAGGGGTGCAGGGGTTGCCTAAGCACCCGCTAAGCATCCGATCAGCTCCCCGCCCTGACCTCAACTAATCCCCCCCTTCTCTCTTTCCTCCCCCCCCTCCCCTACAGGTCTTCCCCAGTGACCCCTCCCTGCATGGAAGCCTCAGCTGGTGCTTTTGGGCTCTTCCTCACCCCCCTGCATGAGATCCTCCAAGCTGCGGGCTAAAGGCGGCAGGGCTCCTCCGGGCTGATCGCGCAGGCACCTGGCAGCTGGGGGGGATGGGGTCCACTTTCCTCCCCTCCAGCGCGGGTAGTTCGGCGAGAGGCGGCGGCTCTATAACCCCAAAGGCAGCTCTCGCCCGGCATCAGCACGCGCGCACGCCCACAAACAAAACACCCAAACACACACTATCCCCACAGTGCGAGAATAACAGGAATAATAGTCTTCTTCCCCCCCACCACTCTGCCCGCCACTAGCCTTGCGGTTGCGACTTGTGTCCCCGCCCCTTGGCTCGGTTTTCCTGCAACTGACTCCCGCCTCACACTTTTGAAAGAGCGAGAGCAGCCCGAGGAGTCGTTGAAGCGCGCCCCGTTGGGAGGGTGGGGGGGGAGAGAGAAAGGCGTATTATTACATGAGCCTTTTAAACTCGTGAGAATGAGCTTCCCGGGCGAGAACAGTTTATTTACATCTGGGCGGCCAAGAATCGTTTTCAAAACCGCTTTCGCCTTCACCAGTCCTCTTCGCAAAGCGCCACTGCAGCTCTTCCTTTTTGCCTTTCCCTTCCCGAGGCAACGCGGGACTGGAGCCATGCGGAGCCACGCCGGCAGTAGCAACTCCTGACTCAGGTGGCCTCCGAGGGGAGGGGATGGAGGAGAAGGGGGGAGGGGCCGATTCCCCCAAAAATCGGAATTCCGATTTTAGTCGGAAGAATATCATGTCCGAACAAATGTAAATCTAGGATCCAAAGTATTTGCCCTATCCTTTTTGTCATGTACTAATTCCAACAAAACTGGTGAACCATTCATACTATGGGAATATAACTTCCGAGTCCAATTCAAGGTTTTGGTAATCACCTTTAAAGTGTTTTCTGACACAGGTCAGGTTAACTGAGGGACGGCCTTGTCTCAATGGGGCCAGTCTACCCCACTTGATCAGGCAGAAGGGGCATGGTACAATCTCTATTGCTCAGTCTACGCTCACGTGTGGAAGAGCCTTTTTCTGCTGTGGCCCCCCCATTCTTGGAAATATCTCTGCCTAAGTAAGTGAGGCCTGTCCCCGCTTAATTCTGCCAATTAGCCTAAGGTCTTCACAGGGGAGGTTCATCATTGGAGGTGGTGGGTGTATTGATTGGGAAGAGACTGCCCCCATACCGATTTGGCTTTTCTGACTCCTGCCTTTGTATTTAATATCTTCAGTGTTACTAATATTTTCTGTATTTATGATTTTGTAAGATGTCCCAAGTGGCTTTTCCGAGTGAGATGGGAGGCATATAAATTTAATAGAGCAAAGAAACAAACATGCCATGGATACTCACCATGACTGGAGAAGAAGCAACTTTAACTGTGGTGGGTAACGTAGCAGTGCCGGGGGACATTGCGACAGTCTTAACTATGGTAGCAGCAGCAGGCATGGTTAACATAGTGGGGGCTGAGGATGGCGGGATTTTCTGAGTGGCTGCAGCAGCAGCTGCCAGAGCTGCCATGCCACTCATCTGGGAGCTGCTACCAATCACCTAAGTTTAAGGGGGGAAAGTCAGTGAGTTAATACCACTAGGATTCTTTGCAAATAACAATGAAAATGTATTAATGATATAGACAGACAGGATGAGATGTGAGGAATTCCTTCTTTCAGCATAGCTCCCCATCACTCCTGCCTTCACTTACCGTCCCTTGAGTGCTCTGTGTGGGTACCACCATGCGTACCCCAGCTGGCAAAGAAGTCACGGTCACTGGGCCTTTCCCAGCTAGTCCTGCTGACCGCACTGTTACCAGTGGTGCTCCTGTGGTAGCTTGTGGGCCAGTGACCTTCAGCACAGCTGGAACAGCTGCGGAAAGAAAATAAGGTGAAATTTTAGACTACATATAAATAAGGGATATACCAAAATACTTTAGAAGTACTTTAATTATTCAAGTAGTCTGGGGTTGTTGTTTTCTTTGAGCCTTCCAAAGTGACAGTTGCTTTAAGAATCACAATATGACTTCACAGAGAAGCTACAAAATGGCAAATGATGTCTAAAGCAACACTTCAAAATCAATTTGGATGCACGCATGTGATAGATTTCTACCTATTCCAGTTATGGAACACTATCCTAGCAAAATGAAGTTAATTTGGGAACTACATTTTTTTATTGACCCACGCCCTGGGCAGGATAGAACAGCAGTAGTAAGCAAGATGCTCCAAATTCTAAACAGCTAATCAAATAGTACCACTACAAGTATGAAACACTTCTGGAATGGCTGGAACATCCCATTTTAAGTTTAATATCTTTTCCCTTTGATGCATCATAAGGATAGCTCATCTTTTTCCTATAATGGAAAAATGTGAAAAGCACTCAGCTGTGTGGCTTTAAATTTTTGGAATGCACAACTAGAAAAATAAAGGATTGTGAGAATATTCGTTGAAATATGAACCTGAAAGTACACTGTGTTCAATGGAGTTCAAGTCCACTCTATTTACTTTTAAGATAATTCTTAAGAAAAAGAATTTCAGAAGACTGACATTAAGGAAAAAGCACCATGTAACAGATGTCCCCCCCCCCTTTTTTTTTCAAACTGAAGGTGCTCTTACTAAGCAGGGCTTTCTGCTAAGAAGGAAACTCAGACTTTAAGGGCTGTACACAATTAGCCCAGCGTTTGAAAGGGGGGAAAAAATGACTAGATTAAAACAAAAAACATCTCCCTTACTTTGTGGACGAGGAGTAGCAGCGGCAGCTGCTGGAGGAGGCCCTGGCATTGGGCTTGTAGGCACAGTAGGAAGCACCTGGATGGTTGTTGTGGTTGGTGGGGCAGGAGCAGCAGCAGCGGCGGCGGCAGGGGCTGCAGCAACAGCTGTGGTCTGTGGCAGCAGGGTTATACCCATTTGTGCCAAAGGCTGCACGGCAGGGACAGGTGCGGCAGCCGCAGGGGCAGGGCTCTTGGGGGGATTGACAGGCACTGAGGGCACAGGATTAGCAGCTGGCGAGGAGGCAGCTGGGATGTCGTATTTCTGCAGTTGGAGTAAGTAAGTGTCCGCAGTTGGGACAGAACCCCAGCTCACTTCCAAGGAGTTGGTGTTGGCACGAACCAGCTGAACCCGTGAAGGGGGTGGAGGTTTCTCTGTGGGTAAAAGAGAACGGTAGATGGTTTTAGGAAAATTGCCCCACTGTTATCTGTTACGAGAGTACAAACTCCCACATTCCAAAGAAAACAAGTTTTCCATACCAGTTTAAACACATACTTGAAAGGATAGATTAGATTTTTCCCCTGAAGATAGTCACAATACAGCACCAAAATATTGCTGTTTCCTCCCCAAACAACTTTTTAAAACTTCTTGTGATAGGCTGATAAAGTATCATTTGAGGTTCTAACTGTCCACCGCTTTAATTCCCACAAAATGCCTTTGGCTAAACATTTTTTAAAACCAGGAAAAATAACTTTTCGTTCTGCTTTCTAAAAAGCTTGAGACTGAGAAATTTGCAATTATACTGTTTCATAGACCAAAACAAAAAACAAAAAAAACTCCACCATAAAACCAAGAAAGGGATAAGGATGGAATCTTCTACAATCATCATCAAAATATTTAATTTAAAAGTTACTTATGGAAAGCATGATAAAAAACCCATACAATCTCAACAGGGTCTAGTTTAGTTTTACTATTGGATCCTATTTTAATTTAGACACCCTGATTGCTTTTTGTGGGATAAGGAGAACAATCAATGTAACACTGGTATTATCCATAGTGCACTTGGATTTATAGTGTGAAGCTATAGATCCAAAAGTTTTGGATTCTCTGTAAAAGAATGCAGAAAATGCATCCAGAGCAATGCACTATACTTGGTTCCCATCAGAAATTCCAATATGAAAGCAACATCCACATGTTCAAAAAAACCCACAAGTGCACACCTTCCTGAAATGTGTACTTCAGGATGTAATTGAAGCAGCAACATGTTTCACTGTTCTATCATATTTTAAAACTTTCCATACAGAAAACCAGTTTGTTCAAATATTGGCACTATTTATGTTCCCGTGACAGATGATGACTCTCAACATCTTAAATAATTTCTTAAGAAATTAATAGAGTCAGTTTGTGTAATAATTAACATGCTGTCCTAGAAACCAGGAGACTGTGAATTCTAGTCTCACTTTAGGAATGAAAGCTGTCTGGGTGACTTTGAGGCATTCTATCTTATCCTAACCTACCTCAAAAGGTTGTTGTTGTGGGGAAAATAGGGGGAAGGAGTACCCTGTTTCTCCAACAATACGGCCTCCCCCCAATAGGAAGTCCCAGCATGTTTTATAGGCATGAAATGAAATTAAGCCCCTCCCCCCAAATTAAGGCCTATATTAAAGCATGCGAAATGGGGGGGAATGGTGGGGGGGCTTGCCGTTAGGAAGTACTTTTGTTGCACACCCGGATATGGTGCTGCCTGCGTTGACCCCAATACGAAGTGACCCAACGCCGAGGTCAACATCCAAGCTGTCGCCGCCCGCCCGAAGATGCAAGGGGGGGGGGAATTAAGTCACTGCCGAAAAGACGGCCTAGCCATTTTTTCGGGGCTCAAAAAAATAAAACAAAATCCGGCCTTATTATATGAGAAACACGGTATTAGATATGTTCACTGCCTTGAGTTACTATAAAGTAATAAAGGCAGGATAAAAAAAAATCTAATAAAATTAGGAGAATCCAAGCAAACAGCATAAGCCTATGAGACTTAACAGACTGCAACGTCATAGAAGCCTGAGTAATATATAAATAGGTAGATAGTCCCCCCCCCCGCCGGTACTTCTATCTAGCCTTCTTACCGGTCTCAAGATACCAGAGATCTTTGCAGCAAACCTGGTTGTTCCAGGCTTTACGGTAGCCATCACGGCCACTCCAGATGTACAAGCGGGTATTAATGGCCACGGCACAATGCCCTGCACGTGCCCGTGGAGTATTCTCTTCCAGTGTGTCCATCAGAATGGGCTCCCAAGCCATGGAGTCTGCATTGATAGATATATGCACAAAAAATCAGGCTTCTTAGTAGAATACCAAGCAACTAAGGTTAAAAGAGGCACTTCCTTTATGTCCTCCTCACATACCTAAGTTGAGACAGGCCAGAGTATTTGTGCATTTCCATTCCTTTTCATGTGTAGCCACTTTGACATCATCCATAACAAGGGGCACCCAGCCACCAAATACATACATTCTGCCAAAGAAAGGAAAGAACAAAAATTGAAATTTGGGCGAGAAATCAGTCTGAAACATGTCAGGATAGGAGCGGAACTTACTTGTTCCCAATGGTTGTGGCTGAATGCAGACTACGAGGGAGTGGAGCCACCCCTCTCAGATTGGGCTTGTTCCACGTCAGAGAATCTAGAGAAAGAAACATACCAGAGGTCATTGTTTCCAAAAGGTCCAGCCTCTAAGCCTTCCAAAACACAATACACATACGAACTGGCTAGTGCTTGGATAGAACTAAAATTGTTGTGTCCTAGGATCTGCTCTATCTAAAAGCCTGTTTAAAATCTGTCCCCACTCAGCTTTGTTGCTTTTACCGATATCAAGGGTCCAGAGATCACCAAGACGACAACCACTCATGCCCCCGTATATGATGAGTTTGGATTTTTTGTTGTCTTTTTCTGTGTAGACCACAGCAGTATGGGATTCTCGTGGTGGAGGCAATACACCATAGGTGATGGGAATATCCCAGGATCCCACACCAGATCCTGGCCGCAGCTCCAAGATATAGAGGTCATTTAGGTACCTGTAAAAGAAAAAGAGAGAGAGAAAATGTGAAGGCCAGGTGAGAAATTGTAGCTCTCCCGTTTTTTGCTGTTTTTGTTTTTGATACTACTTGGGATGTTTTCTTAAAAACTGGAGAAAAAGTAAAATAAAAGGGAACATGGCTCATTACAACATTGCACAAAATCTGTTCTAAACTGGCAAAAAGTCATTGTACCTGGACTGTAGAAGCATATCATATCAATGTACCTGGGGATGTTATTCTTAGGATCTTCACTGTCATTGGCCAATCCCCCAAAAAGGTAACATTTGTTGCCCACCAACGAGAAGCTATGGCCAAGGCGGGGACATGGTGTGGACCCATTCTTGGGCATCTTGGCCTTTAATCTCTTCCATTCCCAACGGCTGGCCTAGAATAATAAAGGATCAAATCATTATTAACCTAAGCAATGCAAATTAATATAAAGAACTAAGTTGATTAACATAAAGCACTCACCTGCAATTCATACAGATCATTGCTGTACTTGCCATATTCAACCATTCCACCAAATACTAGGAGACGAGTTCCATCACAAACAAAACCATATGCAGCACAACCAGGTGGAATGTCTCCACGCACAGCTGGGATGAACCACTGGTTTGTAGCTGGAAAAAAAAGAAAGAAATATGAAGGACAGCTTACATTCAAATACAATAGAGCTTCATGTGAGAACATTCTGGAAGCAACTCAGGGCTGGACAATTAGGATTTCACTCTTTCTCTCTTAACTGATACTTTATCAAATAAAGGAGCTCTACAAAAATTGGAACTACTCACTCACTTTAGAAGCTTTGTGTGTGTGTGTGTGTGTGTGTGTGTGGTGAAAATGAGATTGCCATCATTGCAATTATATTCTTATTTGCTCTCTTAACTAATAATTTACACAGGATCTTTCAAAAAAAAAATGGCAGTCTTTCAGGATAGCATAAAATAAAGGAAGCAGCCTGTGAGAGCAAAGGATGTCAGAGAAAAGAAAACCTTCCTTCCTGCTCTGGGACAACTGTCTGGATGGATGCAGCAGATAGCAGTAAGAGGCATGGGCGCTGAACTGTTTACAATGAGCAGGCAAAAGGAAGCAACCTATCAGAAGATGAGAGATGAGGCAGCTGCCAATCAGGAAGCTGAGACCCACCCACTTCTATCCAGCTCTAGTTACACAGTAAGAGGACTCCCAACTGTTGGATATCTAGATGCTGTGGCTGACACTAAAAGTGGAGGAGGAAGGCATTCTCCCTCCTGCATGTGCTTGCCAACCAACATACTGCTTCATTCCACATATTTATTCTTGGACTTAACTAGTTATAGTCCCTCCTGTTTAGCCAGCATTGCACTGGCACTTACTGGGATTTTGATAGGCCTCCCAATCTAGCACTTCTACTTTCCAAACTCCCCCCCACCCTCCAAGTACTTGGTTTGTTACTAAAATATTCTTTTGTACTGTTTATCTCAAGGGCTGTATTAACAGCAAGGTAGCAGTGGCATGAAAGCACTAAAGATACAAAAAGCAGAAAGCAAAAGGATCTATACAGTATGATATTGAATTAAAGAATTTCTTCTCATGCAAGAAAAGGAAATGCCAATTTCAAACAAAAATTAAAAATTATCTGAATACTTTTGTTGAAGAGAATTTTTCTGCTTTGACTTTAAAACATTTTGAGTTTGATTTTTTTCCAGAATACACAATGAGCCTGAAGCCTTTACTCACTTATATCTATTTTAAATGTTTCATAGTTTTAAAATATGATTAGATCTATATGATATTATGAGGGTTATTGAGTTTATTAACAATGTGAAAATCTGAATTCTTCCATTTAATTCTCAAAGCTAATATTTGTAGCTATCCTCTGCAACCTTACTCTGGCAATGCTACTTTTATCATTTCCGTTACTAACAGAGTACATGTCTTAACCTTACTCTGGCATGTTACCGAGACTGAAAATGAGACTAGTAAACCAAGTCCAGTCTTTACCAACCAATACTCTTTCTCTAGAAAAACTGTGCTAACTCTCTCGGAACTGTGGTCTCCTGCAACGCATCCAAAGGAGTCTAAACACCATCAATCTTGAGATCATCTATCTAGAGCTCCCCTCAATTAGTAAAGCCTCAACTTTACAAGCCGCTAAACTTTAATTAAAAATATAGAGGCTAGGTAGGGATGGCATATATCTGCAGGGTAGAACACAACTTTTCCAATTGGCACTATAAATAAACCCAGGTGCTGAACTATTTTAGGCAATTTCAACCAGAATTGAGACTACAGGCAATTAATGGCCTGATACTCAAGATAAATTGACCCCTCTCAATTAGCTATAATGTGAAATGTTCCAGCATTTGCTCCCTACCACAACATTACTGTGGCATTCAGTTCAGTTGCATTCTTACGCATCCAAGCCAAGGGGAAAAAACAGGCAACAAAGGGTTAAGAGCTGTAGCATTCAAAAGTTAAATTTTTAGGCGCCAAGTCCTTGGGGAAGAAAAGCTCCTACGAGCATTACGAGCACTGCCCCGCCATCTCATCACGAGTGCATTTGAGAGTCCATGAGGGAAAATAGTGTATTATCACTGCAAGGAGAGATAAAATTACAATGCCAAGCAAAGTTGCACGGCTACTCACAAAGCGCCAGATTAATATGAAAGCACAAGAACTTTGTGTCCTTAAAGCACCCTGCGCTATGTTCAAAACTGGTTCACGGGCTTCATTGACGGATAGTTCTCTAGATATTTTTCTGCTTTCAATCAAGTTGGCAGAGATCTTTCTCTTTTTGCCAACTATTCATTCCTCCACCTCCCACATTGTTGTAAGACTGATGATTTGAACTCCTATGGTTTTGACAAAACAATCCTGAGGTACGCTGTTGCTAGTCTGATGGGCATTCAGCCAAAAAACCATTGCTTTTATGTCCTTTCTGCAAAAATAAATCAATTCCTACACAAGCCAAGCACAAGCGTGTAAAACGGAAAAGGTCTCCAATGTGAAGATGCTAGAATTCCATCTAATAGCTGTTCCAAGGCACATGCCAGTTATCACATTGGAAAGGCTGAAGAAAATTCATGAGAAAGAAGACTTTACCATTGTTTCATCTTTACAGTTCTCTCCTCTATCACTTACTTATCTTTCCATACACCAATCACTTTGAGAAAATGAAGGCAGTTACACAAATGTAATGGGTCTTATAGAAACTTGCTAATATATAACAGTAGTTGCAGATACTTTTTTTTCTATACAAGAGATATTGGAGATCATATGTTCATGGGAGAACTAAATCACTCTGGGACCAATTATAGACGATCTTTTGCCCAATGGACCCAAATGGGGCAGTGCCCTGGTCCTACGAATACCCTAAATACTGTTGCCCATTCAGGCCCCCCCTTACCTGTGTTATAGACATGCAACTCATCCACGATGCCCTCATTGCCCCCTCCGAAGACCACAATCAGCTCTTTGATTGCCACAGCTCTGTGTCCATGTCGGGGCCGAGGCACAGGGCCTGACCACCCAATCACACGCTTCCAGCGGGGCTGCAGCAGCCCTGCAGTGGCCCCAACACCTGTTGGGGAGCCCCCACTAGGGACAACAGGAGAGGCCATAGAAAGCACCTCCTCACTCTCAATAAGTAGCCTTTCTAGCAATCAGTCCTCTAAAACAGCAGAGTCGTAAGGGCTCCCTTTATCAGTTCTGAATCCCAAGCGGTGGCTCAAAAAAGATCCCCCTAAGCCACATGCACTGTCTCTCTTCCGAGGTAAGACTGTTCGTGGAAGCAACACCAGATTTACTTTCTTCAGAGGACAAGAGCAAAGCAGTCCTCCCCAGTGAGGCAAGACGCCCACGATCCTTCTAACTACTATGACACCCCCTCACCGCGGGCACCGGGTCACAGTCACCTCCTTTGCTGCAAACAAACTAATTCGGAGTAGTTGTGAACAAGAAAAGTAAAAAAATAAAATAAAATCTTCCCCTCCCCCCCCCCCCCCGAAAAAAAACTCTTGGCGGGACAAGTAGCTGCCCTTTTTATTTCGTGAGGCAGTCACAGCTTAGAGGCATACCCCGTTGCTGAAAAACTCCTAAGGCTCCCTTTCCGACAATGAGTTTCGATGACCGTATTTCTCCCCGCACGACCGGAATACAGAAATCTCTATGGAGCAGACACCCACCCTTGCAATAAGAGAGGGGCTAATACAAAATTACCCCAATTGCCTCCTGCCTTTTCAAAACCAACACCAATTCCCCCTGCGAGGGAACTACCCCGCGTGGGGCAGTTACTCCTCCCCCCTCGTAACAGGGCCCCTCTGCCGCCCCCCTCCGGCCCCCGCTCAGAGCCCGGCCCTGGGAGCCGCCATCTTGTGTTGCCCGGACGGAAAATGGCGGCCGCAGAGAGGGAGAAGCCGCCTCCCCCTCGTTCCCCCACCCGGCGCGTCTTCCCCGCTGATCCTGCCTACTCCCCAGCCCTGAGTTCTAAGCCAGGGCGCTCTCCCTCCGGCTTCCAAGTGCAACGGGCAGCTCGATCCAGCCCCGCTGTACGGCACCGATGGGCAAGCTACGGCTCCAGGCGCCTTCACGCCGCCCTGGGAGCCGCCATCTTGCGCCTGTGAGGAGTCTCTCTTCCTCGGCAGCGCCTGAAGGCGGAGCCAAAACGAGGCCTCTGTACGGAACCCCTCCCACTAGGGCGCCGCCATTTTCGGTGGGCAGGGCTGCTTGGGCACCGCCATGTTGGGGGACCGCCAAGTTCCCCTCTTTCTTTTGCGGTGCGTGTGGAGGGCAAATTCTGGGCCGGTTTCACCGCACTTTTTATTATTATTTTTATTCGAAGTTCAACAAGTTTGTCAGTGTTTTTCCCGGCTGTGAGCTGTGTAAACTCTCCGAATGTTGTGTGTGTGTGTTGCCATTTTGAATATAAAACTCCGCCCCTTTTGCATTTTTAAAAAATCTGCTCCTCCAATAATAGGCTTCGCCATTAGGACCGGCCACGAGTGCTTTGGGAGGTGCGATAGGCCTCCACCTCTCAGCAAGTGCTTCACTGCATAGCAACGCTTATGGGCGCCGCCATCTTTGGGGATAAAAATTGACGCTGCGTTCGTTTCGTGGATGCACGTGAATAATATTTATTGGATGTTCTCGTGTCATCCAGCGGTTAAGACAGCACCTATGACCTACTCATGCTCAGTAATGCACCTGCTATTTTCCGCAAAAGCTATCTTGATTTCTATAAATATTTCTGACCCTTATCCCGAATTTCAAGGAATTAAATAATACAATCCGAGATTCTGGCAGGCTAATATAATATTGGAAATAATAATAAAATTCAGGTTTCATGCTTTCCTGGAAGCTGCCATTTTGGATCCTCCCCTTTGCTATCACTATCCCAAAATTAAAAAAAAAAAACCACATATGTCCCATGAAGTTCCCGGATGTATTTCCCTCCCTTTAGAGAATTAAAATGGCGTCTTTCTCCAATGTCCCTATGTCGCCGCCCTGTGTTATGTGAGATTCAATATGGCGATTCTTGTATTCCCGGATGGTGCGGACATATACGCATTCAAGATGGCTGCTTCATAAATACCCGGATGGGCCGAACCCTCGGCAAAAACGGCTCCGTTAAAAATCAAGAAACTTCCGTGTTACGTTCTTGGTACATTTTTCCGATTAAATCAAGTTTTATTAAATCGCCGGATAATAGAAATGCCCTACGCGAATTGCTGTACAGCCCCAAAATGGCGCCACCTGAAATCTCTAGCGGGTGGCGGTGACCGAAAAAGCAACCAAGATGGTGAACGCTGTACGTATCGGGAATCAAGATGGCGCTCACGTGCACAATTACCCGGATGTTGAAGACAGGAACTGACAATGACGCATTAGGAATAAAGAAAGAACAAGCGGGCTGTTGTGACGCCGGTTTTTCAGCATGACCAAAACCGTTGATCGAAGAAGCTGCAAAGATTGGTCAACTCAAGTTGCCGGTTCAGATGTTCAGTTACAAAAACACGGATCCGTAGGTGACTTATTTAATTATCGCTATCGAATTGTTCTTGAATGGAGAAAGATGCTATTACGAGAACATACAGACATTAAAATAATATGATTTTAACAACTACTTTAGAAGTTTTCCTCTGGAGCTCGCCGGTCTCAATGCGCAGGCGCAGAGACCTCTCGCTGATAGGTCCTTCCCGGCTGCATCTGGGAAGACCCGGATGTGTTGGGTCTGTCCGCCCATGATAAGAAAGCGGTCTTTTTTTGCTTGTATCGCTTGCTTCCTGACTTGCGATTGTCTTCGGCTCTGCACACGTTGGCCTAATAATCAACCCCCGTGAATCCCGAAGGATTCATTTTGGAGTCTCACCTGCAGAGAGTTACGTTGCGCTGAAACCAGTTAAACTTTCCCAATAAGCATCAGCCTAGTCCTCTGCATGGTTACTTGGAAGTAAGTTCAATGGGGGCTTTTGTCCAAGTGAAGACAATTCAGAGTTGCAAACTTTGCATATTTATTATTATATAGTAGTGTAGGATTTTGGCATGAAGTAGTAATTTATAGAAGTACTGCGGCCTTAATATATCGAGAGAAAATAACTACCTGTATTTTGAATGGTCTGCTTTATTTTTTACTATTGTTTCTCATCATTCAACACTTAAATTCCCAAAGGTAGGGGCTTTTTATACTTATATTCTTTGTCCTGTTTCCAGCTGTCCTATCTTTTCTCATTAGACACAATTTCTCCTGTAATCACTGATTGGAGTATGACACCTTTATATCTTTCCCCTAAATTTATAACACTTAGTATAATACATAACTTCCATTCAGATTCTGCTTAGTACACACTATATTTTAAAAAGAGAAAAAATTATATATAATATAATTAAAACAACAATCCATACCAATTCAAATCTATTGTTAAACACATTATTTTCAAATAAGTATCATACTAAATAGTATGATAGACAATAAATAGTAACCCCAACAAGAGAAAGTGAAAAAAGAAGAAAGTGTTAAAAGAAACAGCTTGTGTGTATTTGGATTGCTTGGTGACTTTGGGACTTTTGGAAATTATATTTGAATGACTAAAAACACTTGGGTGGTTGTTTCAATTTTTTTTTACAATGGCATCACTTGTGGATGAACTGAATATGGAATTTAAAAAATATAAAGAAGAGGAACAAGAAGGGAAGGGCTCTCATGGCTCTGTTTTTCAATTCTTAAAAATGGCGATTTGTACTTATGAGAAACTACAAGAAAAGACTGCGCAACAAGAAGATTGGGACAAAGAAGAAGCCATCTTTGATGAACAAGTAACTTTACTTAGGGAAGAAGGGGGAAAGGGGGGAAAGAGAATGGAGACTTTAAGACCCAAAAAAGGGAAAAATAAGATGAAAAGTGGATATAATGTTAGAAAGCAACAGAAAAGGGGAACACAGAAGAGGGAAATGGAGGTGGAGAGACAAGGGGATAAAAAGGGCAGAGAGAAGAAGCAAGGGAGGAAGGAAGGGAAGAGAAGCTACAAAGGTGTGGAGCAAGATGTAAAGAAACAAGACTTTAGAGATAATGGGTAAAAATTTAACTGAAAAAGTGATTCTGCAAAGGTACATAAGATTGTATTATATTTGTATTAGAAATAATGTTAGAAAATTGGAAACAACATGATTAAAAAGTGGGATAAAATACACAGTGTAATTCAGTGAAACTTTTGTGAACAAAATAAATGAAATGAAATAAATTGAATTGAACTGAAGAGAATTGAACTAGGAAGGAATGGGAACATTTTAATGATATAATGTTTTAAAATATGACTGAAGTGGGGTGGAAATAACTATGGAAAGTTTATAAGTGTTCCCATAGAAGTATGATATATATATATATTTCTTGCTGAAGACCAAATCCATATATATTTAGGATCAGGAGGTACAATACCTGGAGAGAAATAGGGACCCCTATGAGTTCAAAATAAATAATTATTTTGCTTTGTAAATTGAATTCAGGAGTTTTTCTTCCTTAAGTCTTTTTGTGATTTTTTTCTGTTTAATTTGCACTTTCTTTTTTTCCATACTTTCTTAGTATATACTACTAAAGTTCTTTTGTTTTATTTTTTGTAATTTTCATTGGGCAAGTTTTTAAATCACCATAGCTCAAATTGGCTAACTTACAGAATGCATCCAACATCTGGGACCGATGACTTGTGGGATTGAACTTTGGCAAAATTTTGGCTGCTTCAAATGCTGCTGTGTAGCCATGCTATGGTCAGTTGCAGTCACGTAACTTTCCAAAATGAAAGATCAACACTAAGATTCAGAATGTAACTTATTTTTAAAAATAATTTTAAACAACAGAAACTGCAAATGGAGTGGGCTAAATTATAAAGTTGATTCATTTCATTTATAAACAAGGAGTGGGCTAAATTATAAAGTTGATTCATTTCAATCCCACTATCATGCAAAAGCGTTTTTATATCTTTGGTTGCTTTTATTGTCACCTTTTTTCTGTTTGTTTTATAAAGAGATTGTGACAAGATTGCACATTGTACCTTTGAAAAGATTAGGAAACCAAGTCGGATGGCCCAATACAGCTTTGTTAAACAAGTTTTGATTAATTCTCCTTAACTGGTTGGGCATATTTTCTTTTCCTGCTTTATGCCTGCACTAATATTTTATCCTGCTTATGCATAGTAAATACTATCTAAATAACATCCTAATGCAAAACACAAGAATTTCTCAAATAATTTGCCCTTCTTTGTTTCTCCATTCTGAAATATTTGTTTCCCCTCTTTTAAATATGCTTTTTTGGGTTTCCCCTCTAAAGTTGAAAAGCACCCATCTGGAGGTATGGATGACTGCTAAGTATGTGACATCTAGCATAAAAAGTGTAGGGGGAAACTATTGCAGATTGCTGTAAACCAGGGGTCTTCAAACTTGACAGCTTTAAGACTTGCGGACTTCAACTCCCAGAATTCCTCCTCCAGTCATGTTAGCTCAGGAATTCTGGGAGTTGAAGTCCACAAGCCTTAAACTTGCCAAGTTTGAAGATCCTAGCTGTAAGCATTCATCTGCTACTGTAAGGCTGAATACATTTCTGTTTTCACACCAAGTTATGCTATGTGTCATTACTTTAACATAAGTTGTATTGGTTACCCATTTCTTATAGGAAAAATGCCACAGTATATAACTGATATTTGATTCCAGGTGCAATTCAAAGTGTTAGTCATTACCTAGAGACACCTTCATGGCAATCTGAGGGATTATCTCCAGTTGTCTCTGCCCACCTGGTAGGCTCAGGAAGGGTAGGTGTGCTTCAGGTGTCTTAAATACTGTCATCTTGTGGGATTTGAAAATGTGTCTTCTCTATCACAGTCTGCCTTGGGGAAAAAGCATTATCCGGAGATACTTACAGCTTTCACTCTCCAGATTTCTCTCCTAGTCACTGGGAGTTGGGTGGCATATAAATTTAATCAATCAACGGTGTTCTGTATGTCCCTTAAGACCTGGCTGTGCTCCTAGGCCTCGAGTTAGAGTAATTGTGTTTTAATTATATACGCTTTATATTTTGTAAATTTCTCAGTATTTTAGTTGGGTGACGTTAGTGCTCTAGTTGCACAGAAATTTTGTTGAGATTTTTCTATGGACACATATACTGTATTTTAGTGAAAACAGAGGAGCAAATAATTTTTTTTGTTCAGCTGAAATATGGGCTTGACCTCTGATATATTGCAGAATAAAATAGTTCTATTTTTAAAACATACACACTCATGATTCCACTGCAAAAGTTTATGTATTTATAAATAGTTTATTAGGTATGAAGTAATTGTACTTTTGGCTTGTGCTGTGCCAGATTTCATTATAGTTCTGTCACATCACTTTCTGTCCAAGTGTGTACTTTACCTGAGGATACTTTGAGATTAATTTCCCTATACAAGACGCTTATTTCCTCAACCAGAGCATTTAAAAATACTTATATCCTATGAGCAACAAGATTTTAGAAAGCTAGCAACAGATCTCTTTTGCAAAACACAAATCCACTGATGATAACTTAATGTATAGTTTAACATTGCTGGGACAATAATTGTGGCTGGTTTTTTCTCCTTAAATATGAGTCAGATATTGAAGTATTAAGATAAATGGCAACCATTCATTGACACTTACAGGCTAGAAAAAGCCATGAATAGAAATTGAAAGATTAAGGTTACAGCCCTTGTAAAGTAGGGCTCCAGCAGATCTCAAATCACAGCTTATATTGGTAGGGGAAAGACAAGACAAAGCACTAATTGACATTAGAAAGATGAAATGGAGGTTTGGAAGAAAACATCAACTGGAAATTCTAACGGTAATTCAAGAAGCCTGAGAAGGCTATGGCAAATCAATCCCAGGCCATCCTGAATGAAGCTGATTTTCCAGATACCTTTCCGTTTCGGACCTAGCTATGGAACGGGAACTACCTTAGTGACCTTGTGGGGTGACCTGCACTGAGGAAAAGACAGGGAGTGCAACACAGGTAGGGCACTTGGCGTTTTGAACCACTGCTAATGGATTGAATGAAGGTCAATAAACAGCCTTGGTCCAGACAAGATGGAGATGCTGTTTGTGGATGATGCATCTGTCCAGCTGAGTGGTGCCCTACCTAAAGAAGCAGGTTCACAATTTTGGGGTGCTCCTAGATCTATCCCTGCCACTTGAGGCCTTCATGTAGTTTTATTAGCTTTGGTTTATAAGCTTTGGTTTTATTAGATTTGGTTTATTAGATTTGGTTGATTTACCAACGGTGACCTTATTGGACAGTTTTTATAACAGTTAGTCACAGACTGGTAATTATGGATCACTGCAATACATTGCACAGAGGCTGCCTCTGAAAATGATCTGCAAACTTCAATTAGTTCAAAATAAAGCAGTTACCAATAGAGGAGAATATTTGTAGCTCAGAGTTGAAATGAGTAGTCCTTGATGCTCTCTTGTTCATAAGGCAGCTGGACTGCTTAGTCCACGGGTGTCAAACTTGATTGTGTCACGTGATGTATTGCAACGTGACATTTTTTGCCTTTGATGAGCCTGGGTTGGCATGGCCTGAACATGACTTAGTGGGATTGACTTGATGTGAATTTAGTGAGCCCGGTTCTTTGTGATTTACACAATCTGCCAGTCCATTTCTGATCTCAATTCATAGTGTTGATTTTAAGGCACTAAACTGCTTAGGTTTAGGTGAAGGAGTGCTTTCTCCTGTATGACTTCAAGATTATCAATTGAAGGCCTTCACTAGGGCCTCTCACAAAGTAGCTGAGCCAAACCTCTGCAAAGGGCAAAGACTATTCTGTGGTGGCATTCCATTCCTAGAATTTCCTCCCCAGAGTATCTTGATTGGTTCCCATCAGTAACATCATTTTGGTGCCTAGGTGAATACCTTTGTATCTTCCTAGCTTTGTAACTGCTTTTAATGTATCTCAATTCTTATTCATTCATTCATTTCCTACAGCCGGTCAATGACTCTGGGCAGTTTACAATTCAAAAAAATACAATTAAGCCATTAAAAACATCTCAAAACAATAAATAAACAAAAACATCCAAAATAAACATACATAGCAGCTGGGTTATTTGACCACTTAGCAATGCTGCTAGGAAAAGGGCCCTTGACTCATTCAAGGCTCAGGAACATAGCCAGATTTTTAGGGCCTTACAAAAATCTAATTGTCGGAGCATGTCCCATAAAGCAGGGGCCACTTTGGAAAAAGCCCATCTTCTAGTCCCCGCCAGCCGATGTTCTTTGGCTGATGAGACTTGGATATTGTTTCTGTTTTTGAATAATAGCTGTCTAGTTTATATCATGTTTATAGTTTATTTTATGTTTTTATTTAAATAGCATTTTAATGTGTTTTATTATACATTTCCCAGAAAGCTCCAGCTGTTGGCTGGTTCGTACATAATAAATAGTGAAATGTGTTAAAAAATAAAACATGTAATCATTTTTTTTTGTAAAATACTTTGGAATTCTTTTACTAATTCATTTTTAAATTTAAATTGGCTCCTCAAAGCACTTCAGTCCCCCTCTCATTTTTTAAATTTTCCATACAAATGTGCAATATTCATGTAAATACTATAATTGAAATATACATTTTTGGATTGCAATTTAAAAAAATGTAGAATATTCATAATTTAATCCAGGATATTATCCTATATATTATTATATAGTTGTCCTTCTGGAGACCTTAGTTCCTATAGATACATGCAATACTGTGGTCAACTTTCTCACCATAGTAATATATTGCTTGGTCCTTCTTTTTAGGTCCCCCTTAAGGATAGTGTGATTGAGTTTGATAGTCCATTCTGGTTTTGCATAATACACAATAGCAATAGCACTTAAATTTACATACTGCTTCACAGTGCTTTACAGCCCTCTCTAAGTGGTTCTACAGAATCAGCATATTGCCCCCCAACAATCTGTGTCCTCATTTTACCCACCTCAGAAGGATGGAAGGCTGAGTCAACCTTGAACCTAGTGAGATTCGAACTGCCAGATTGCAGGCAGCCAGCAGTCAGCAGAAGTAGTCTGCAGTACTGCACTCTAACCACTGTGCCACCATGGCTCTTGCATAATACACAAGGTTATTATATATTTGCCTAGTTTGTGGTGTACATGCAACAAATTACAGTAGCATGATTCATCTATGTTTCAGTGTGGTATACAAACCTGGGCACTTGGGTGAGTGAGTCAGTAAATCATTGTTCAGTGAATTATGAATAAGTGTTATGCAAACACAGCCTCGGTATTATTCATTCAAATCAAGGTTGATTGTGCAAGGATGATCTTCTCTTAGAAGTCCACGACTTACTCTCTTTTTTTCTGCACCCTCTTCTGCCAATTGTAGCTTTCATTCTCACTCCACTCTCAAATGTTTTGAACCTTTGTTCAATCATTCTGTAACTCTTGAGTGTTGTTTCTGTTTATGTGGGCTGGGTAGGGGAAAGCAGGTTGGTTATGAAGAGACATCCACGTCTCTCCAAAATTAGAATTGATGGAAAAGAAAAGAATATATTGTGTTCACTGATCAAAATAGTACATACTTTGGTAGTAGTGTTTGCTGACCTCAAGTGGAAATATATGAAAACTTCTGATTAAATTGGGATAAACTAAAATTTAGAAATAATATAGAAATATTAAAGTGCTAAAAATGTAAAGTGTTATAATCACTAAATCATAATATTTTACCAAAAATAAAGTCAAAAAACAAAAATATACTGACTTATTGTTTTAGATTGGAGTACACTTTTCTTTTTTTTTGGTAAATAACATAAAACAATATAAAAATTGTCAGAAGAAATGAGTTTAAGTTAAGTGCAGGTGATGAATTTCATCATAACATTAGCAGTACAGGAACACATGACCTATGATTTCAACTGTTCCAGAATGGCAGGGACAAAGCCACTCTTTGAAGTGGATTTGTTGGTATCTCCCTTTCAACGAGAGGATGAAAATAGTGTGGAATTATGTTGGTGTAAACAAGTTTATTTAGGAGAGACATTATATTGATGTTCACACTCGGGAGAAGATGCTCAGAGCATTCTCTCTGCAAATCAATATGTTAATTGCTTTGGGGTAACTTTTTTAGCTTTGGGGAAACCCAAAGAATCCAGGGTTGTTTGAGATGGATCATTTTATAATTTTGCTTCCAATGTCATTTCCCAAGCTGAGCAAAAATGAACTAATAATCTGAAGGTAAGCTTGCTGTGATATTTGCCACCTTATTGATAATCAGGGTTCATTCAGCTTTTAATAGAAAGTGTGTTGCTAATGTCTCATCACTTCAACTGGGTGCTTCTCTACTTGCTCCTTAGCAGTTCATCCCTTTTGTTTTGAATCTCACATAATTTTTAAATTAATTATATTTTTGTTATTGATTCAGATACTGTAGTAAAATGTAGGAATGGGGCATTATATAATAGTATTGAGCTACAACATAATAATGAAAAAGCTGGATGCTGTAGTTGAGCAATACTGGGACATCTGTAAGTTTCAAAGACCAAGAAAATTAAAATTCCTGAGCCATGAAATTCCCTGGGTGATTATGCCACCCCTTTTTGAACAAGCAGTTTGAGTGGTTGCAAGCATACAAATGTATACTCCCCTCGGCTTAGAGAAAAGATATACAGTACGTGGGCTCAAGAAGACTTCCAGTTGATACTTCTGATCAAGAGGACAACCAGGTGTTTCCTGAATAAAAATCCCCAGAACCTGAAGATAGTGTTCATTAGGAATAGGGATCTATAAACCCATTGGTGAGTTTAGGTGGTTTGTGACTGACCCGAAACATTTGTATTTGGCCCAGATACCAAAATGAGTTGTTTTGTCCTGAATTATGGATTGAAAGCAGAAGAGCAGGAAAAATGGAAGGACATTGGTGAAGGAAGAGGAGGGGGGAGGGGCTATAGCAGAGGGAAAAACAATTAGGGAGATCAAAGGGGGGCAGCTGGTTATCACCCTGGGATTTGATGTGTGGAGAGACGTGGTGATGTATCCCGGTTTTGTCTTGCATTCCCTGCACTCTCCAGGTTCTATGAAGCTTTTGTATTGGATGGAGCATCCAAAATGGTGATCAGAATTTCAGAGTGGATTTTTTTCCTAGTTGAACCAAATAGGCAATGTATTGTATTTTCTGGGTTTAGTTTTGTTTTTTTGTATTCCATAATTGGAAGCATTTTCCTGATGCTTGGCTAGGTGGCAGTATCTAGCTGTCTTGGAGTGATCTCAGAAAAATAGGTTTCGATACATCTAGTACTTGGATGAAAAGAATCCCAGAACTATATATAGCACATTGCTTTGTGGGACTTGATGGGGTATATCTCATGTAAGTCATGTTGCCAGTCAAACTACAAGGCAGTGGCGAGCAAATTCCATGCTATTGGCAGGAAAACCTCAGGCCTGGTCAATATGGTCATTAGGAGCCAAGCTTGATGTAGAAATAATCTTTTTTCCCCATGTAAATAATGAACAGTTATTACCAAATTAATAAACAACATTGGGTGCAATACCCAAAAATTTTTTGAACAGTGTTTAGAAAATCTGTGCATTGACAAAATTTCCACCTGTCATTACAAAAGACCACACTGCTTGGATACTATACCAATTAATTACAAGATCCTCGGTTCTTGGGAAGAACTTGATGCGTATGAAAGCCAACACTAGGTAAAAAATTAGCAGCTGTGATTTCACACTGTTGTGTATAATATTAATTGAACTTTTCCCCCACCTGAATCTCTTCCCAACTCTAAATTACTTCTGAAATGTCTTTTAAATAATGTCATAGATTTATTTCTAAGACAGTGCAGTAGATGTGTCTCTAAAGATTTATGTATGAAAGCAACTTGTTTGCAAGAAAGACTGGAGAACAGAAAGTTTTGTAGCCTGAGCTTAAAGAGCTCTCTAGGCTTACTATTCAGCACTTGCTGTCTCCATGGTCACAAAACAGAAGATCAGGGGAAGGAAACAACCCTACCCCCCATTTCCCCCACTAAGCAGTGATGTCACCAATAGCCAATCCTGCCACTACAGCTGTTTCATAACAGTAAACGCTAGAATTGTGAGTACGTGAGCTGCCAAGAAAACATGCTGGGCCTTTGCTTGAGTAATCTCATGCTGTTTGAGCAGGAGAGGGAGGATGAGTGTTTTCAGCAATGCAAAATGTCACCAAGCTTTCAGGTTTCTAAGAGAAAAGTTTAACTGAACCCACTCACTTCCTGTGCGGCATTAGTGGAAGAAAGTATCAAAGGCCACCCTGGGCAGTAAATTCATCTTGGGAAACTAATCAGCTGTGTCATCCATTTCATGCTCTCTCCTTGTTTCTTGCAAGCTATTCTAGGAGGAATGGGACTTCAATGGATGGCCAGACTAGCAAAGCCAGTGAATAAATAATGGAAAACAAAGCTTTTGTATCAGTGGCGGTCATTTGGCAGCGGTGCAGAGAGCGAGACTCAAGACTTTGAAAAAGACAGCTATGAAGTCAGAAGACAACAAGCCATTCTTGCATGTGACTGGAGGCCTGCTGCTTTGCATACTAGCGGTGGCTTCAGGAATTTTTGATGGCGCTCACACAGATACTGGCTACGAGCATTACGCTGAACCAATGGTGCCTGGAATGCCAGCTTTCCTTGCTATGCCAGCAAATTGCTTGATCAATTTGGCTTACGTACTTCTGGGTTGGTACTGGTGGCCATCAGGTGACAAGGGTAGGCAGACTTACTTTCAAGAGGTCTTTGCCCTCATGGCACTTTTATATGGGCCTACACAATGGGTCCGGCTGTGGACACAGCGTCATTGGGCCGCTGTGTTAGATCAGTTGTTAACACTACCAATTTTTGCTTGGGTCATTATTTGGTGCCTTTTTCTTGAAAATGGGTGGGAACCGTATGTTTTTCTAGCCATAGAAGTGACTTCACTGACTAGTTATGCCCTGGCATTGCTTCACACACAAGGTTTTGAGTTGGCATTGAGTGGACATATAATTGTTGTTCTTTGGAGAATACTGAAAGTGCAAAAACATTTTGGCAATGCCAGTTCCATCTGGATTATAGTTCTAGGGACGATGTGTTGCTTTGGTTTTGTAAGCCTCAAGGTGTGGGATCGGGAACTGGCCCAGTGGGCATTCTTCTCTCGACTCACTGGCCATTTTTGGTCCAAGGTATGTGATGTGCTGCAGTTCCACTGTGCTTTTCTCTTCCTTACCTTAATGAGCAGATACCAGCTAAGCTCAGTGAAATAATCTGTAACTTCAATGAACAGTCTGAATCAAAGGAGAAACAGTACAAGAACATACTGTTATGCAGTGATGGGCTGCTGCGTGGTCGCACGGGTTCGGATGAACCTGCACTTGTCTGGCTGGGCCCGCCCACCTCTCCCTGCGCTATCCTTTCCATATATAACTTTCTGGCTTGTTCCCCCACACCCACACTGCCCAGCTGAGGTCTGCGTTGCCCCTGCTGTACTCACTGGAGCTGCCTGAGTAGATTAACTGCATGTTTGAAGCTACATTTCAGTCCCAAAGGGGTGCAGGCGAGCGAAGCAAGTGCTCACAACCAGCAAACCGGTTGGTAACTTAAGTGCAGCCCACCTCTGCTGTAACATGGTTTGAAACGGGAAAAAAAAGTCTGCTAAAATATGCCAGTTTCTTTAAAAAGCTATTGAACATAGTTGGTGAATTCCACACAGTATCCCCCAGTTTATTTTCTGTTGAATAGAATGCTGTTTTTAAAACCATATAGGAGAGAGAAAAGTTGCTGGTTTATACAGTAGTCCTCAACTTACAACTGATTGTTTAGTGACTCCGTGAAGTGACAATAACATTGTAAAATCACATACAACTTGCTGAACAATCACCTTGCTTAGCAACAGAAATTCTGGTCCCAATTGTGGTTTTAAGTCAAGGGACTACCTGTAAAATAATTCCATTAGAAAAGTCCTTTCAGCCAATTGGAAGTTTCTGATGGAATACTATGAAGGTTGCATTTCCAAGAGGCAAGTATCTACGGCTTTTACATGGCAGTTTGTTGCAGGTTGTTGACAATTCCATACAACCACACTAAGGTATAAGATCAGAACCTTTGAAGCACAACTTTTACAGAGGGGCAGATGGCAGTATCATTTTTAAAAGGTTGGGGGGGGGGCTTGCCATACTTTGTCACTGATGAGTCAATAACAAAGTATGTTTGGCATGCAAAGATTCAACCCTTGGAATCACTAGGTCCATGTGGAGAAAGACTAGTCTCAATCTAGGGGAACTGCTCCAGAGCATGATTTGAATGAAAGGGATTATTTGAGAAGTCATTTTCCTTTTATTCTGAATAGCTGGCTTTGCAGGGTCACTGTACCTCAGTTGCTTGCTTGCTTGCTTTAGGCCTGTGCAAACTGATTTCCTGACCCCACAGTTAAATTGGCTACAGGAATATACAGCTAGTTCTCAACGTATGACCACAATTGGGCCCAACATTTATGTGGTTAACTGAGAATTTGTTAAGTGTGTTTTGCCCCATTTTACGACATTTCTTGCCACAGTTGTTAAGGGAATCAGGCTTCCCCATTGACTTTACTTCTCAGAAGACTGCAAAAAGTGATCACATGTCCCTGGGACCTGCTATGTGTCATAAGTATGAACCAGTTGCTAAGCATCTGAATATTGTTCACATGATCATGGGGTTGCTGGAAAGATTGTAAGTGGTCATAAGACACTTTTTTCAGAAGCTCAATGTGTAACTCTGAACAGTCACTAAATGAACTGCTGTAAGTCAAAGACTACCTGTATACTTTTATCTAGGAACTTAGTTTAGGGTACATAGCTCTTCCTCTTGTATCCCTTCCCATAATCAGGCTTTGGGCCGAAACAGACTGGCCAAAGCCACACATTGAGCTTCCATGGCTAAGAATGAATCTGAACTTTCATCTCTGTCCTTTGTCCAAAGTTTAACCTTTTCCTAACACAACTTCTCCCTTCACAGTATTGCAGTGCAATTATTCAGATGATTAATATTTAGCATAGTTCAGTTTTGAATAGAAACATCTTACTGCGATGTTGAACTACATTCCTAAAACACAGAATCTATCATGGCTCCATCAGAACTGCAGCATAGCCAAAAAAATTCATTGTCAATGAACAAAACTTACCCTTCTGACATATAGATGTTTTCCATTTTTTTTCTTTCCCATCTCTTTTTTATAATCAACCAAATGTAAATTTGGGTTTTTAAAATTTTTCTCTTTCACTGTGTATAGCACTACTTCCTTCCTCTTAATGTTGTGGTTTTCTGAATTAAACAAGAACAATTATAAAAGGTACCACTTTGATAACCATCTGGTTGAAAGATCAGTAATCCATTGTGTGTAGTCTTGGGGGTTTATCTTCCACATGGTTTCACAGTTCAGAGTTTCGTGCAGAGAAAATAAGAGGAAGCCGATACGAGAGAAAGTAGGTGTTCTCACCTTCTCTGAAAACCCCGATAGGACAAAGATTCTGCTTTCTAAGTTTCCTCTTCCACAGGAAATAGTCTTGTTTATAACTATTGCAAACATCTACACCTTGCCACGTAAAGCATAAACTAAATGATACTGACAACTTACAAATATATAAAATGTTTTATTATCTACTCAGTGAAAGGGAGCATGTAGTGAGGAACTTGTATAACCATGAAAATCCACGTCATCACCACTCCCATCCCACCAGTTTTAATCTCCATAACTCCAAGGGTGTCTTCCATTTATGACAGATTGCTGGCCTGATGCCAAATTCTACCAGAAACGTGTCACACTGGTATCAACTAAGGGAACAGGCATGGTATCCAAAGGAGGATAGCATGACCCTTATAATTTGCAAAGTGCAGTCAGCGCTATGAGAACTTTACTCCTGTATTGGTTGAATTTGTCACTCAAATTCATCACTCTCTTCAGGTTCACGAGGTGGCCCAGCAAAGCGGTCTGAAGGGAAGAAAGAAAAGAAACTCAGGTTTCAGCCACTCACAGAATAAATTTTTTCCAACTGCTCTTCAGGGTAGTGATCTCAGCTAGCGGTGTCTCACCTGTCCCAAAACTGGAATACAGAAATAGCACAATAGGACCATAAATCTGTCTGGGTTGCCTTCAGTCCATCTCTCCCAAAGCCACTCCAAACCTAGTATCCTCCAGCTGTGATTGAGAGTTAAAATCTTAACACATCTGGAGAATACCCACGTGGGGAAAGAGTGACCTAATGGCCAGATTACTGCTGCTGCCCTGTGTCAGAGAGCTTGGATTTAGCTTCTCGGATGATTTGTGCTATATTGGATACAGAACAGACATCTTCTGAAAATAATGACTTCCCATGTTTGTTTATTTACTTAAAACATTTCTACCCAATTGTGGTTGAAAGTCAAATAAATAAAACGTAACTAAATTATACAAATCCAATTCAAAAGAAACTGGCTCAAAGCCCATAAAAAGCAATTAACAATTTATTAAAGAAACACCTATGCCAGAACTCCATCCGCATCCCAGCTCTAGTGCCTGGGTAAAGAGCCAAGTCTTCCACAAGTCCAATAGAGATTGCTATTTGAAATTCAGGGAGAAGGCTATACAACAGGACAGTCCTGCTCCCTGAGTTCCACCTGGTAACACGGTTCACCTAGGAAGCCTGGAGCAGACCCACTCTGCCAGATTGGTCTCATGACTACATATGGTTTTAAAGGTGACAACTTTTCAATAGCATTTGGAAGCCGAACTGAGACCCAATGCAGGAGTGATCCATGGGCACAGGCGGGATCCATTTTGAACCAGCTGAACTTTCCAAGTGCTTTTTTAAAGGCAGCTCCACGTAGACTATGTTGCAATAGTCTAATCAGAAGGTGACTAAGACATGAGTGACAACCAGTAATGCTTACTAATCTAGAAATGGGTGCAACTGATGCACAAGATGTATTTTTGCAAAGACCCTACTTGAACAGGATCTGCGAGTCTAGAACTCCCAGACTTTGTACAAACTCTGCCTGGGGGAGTGTGACCTGATTGAGAACTATGAATGGTGGAAAATCACTACGTACAGGGGATCCTAAAACCCGCAGCTAATTTTTCAGAGCTGCTCCATTCTAATCTGCACGGCTTCCAGGCCAAGAAAGAACCTCAACACCTTCACTAAGATGGCCTGGGACAGATGTATAATTGAATATTATCAACATACTGACAATAGTTAACCCTGTGATAAAATGTCCTGATTTAGCAGTTCCATGTAGGTGTTAACTTGAAGTAAATGTTCAGAAGTAGTATGCAACAGAATATCAGTTAATTACAGGGAATTGATCTGCCATTAATATTTCCAGCTTGGGGGGGCGTGCCGGAGACTTCTGTTTGGCTTCTGTGGGAGTAGTTTTGTTTTTGGAGAAAAGTGTTATAAACACTTTTAGCCAACAATAAGAAGGAAGAATGTTAGCAAATATGATTCAACTTTTTCTGATGAAAAAACTTAATAGACATCAGCAAACTCCACAGAGTAAGCTAAGTAACAAAAACTTTTTGAGTGAGATCCTTGTTTATGCTAAGGAGGTAAGGAAATACAGCAGTACATAATACATCACATAAGTCAGGTAGTCGTGCTCAGGGTAAAATGGCAGGATTGTCATTTTCCCCTTTGCTCCTCATGGAATGCCTCACATCTGCACCACTTACAAGGCCTTTATTTCAGGGATCAGCAATAGCAGAAGTAAAGGAAATGCGTTGGGCATCTGTTGATGAATTAATTTTTTTCCTAAGATACTTTTTCCCTCAGTTCATTTGGGATTAAGGAAAATTAAATCTGGGAAAAAAGCAGTGAGAGACTAAATTTCTCTGACCAGGAGTAAGAGGGCTGCACTGTGGGCACTAGTGAAATGGCAAGCTTGACTATAAATAGGAAAAAAAACAGGCCAGAAGAATTGATATTGTGACATAATTTGTAGAAACAGGAGATCAGATGGTAAATCACCTGTACTGTACCACTCTGGACTATATGGTCAGAATGCACATGATTAAACACTCCTTCATATTCACTACCATGACTACTCCCAGGATATATACATTCTAGTCCCTCTTTGTGTTGAGGAAAAAGAAAGGGACAATTAGCTTCCATCCCAATTGTTTAAGTGAAGGAAGGATTTTTTTCAGGGACCGAGCATTCGGTCATGTAGAAAGAAGGCAAAAGTTTGCTACATTGCCTGTTTTACCAAAACTAGAAAGAATCCAACCTGGACAGCCTTCGGGTCTACAAATGCTGTGGCAAAATCTGAGGAGCCCAAACTTCGTATTTCACAGCATAGGATCAGAAGCTGTCTAATAATAGTCTGGGAAGAACCGTGGATGCCAATGAAAGAAGTATATCTGTTTTAATAGGATTCTGAACCAGTTTCTCTGATGGCAAAAAGGGACCAAAGATAACTTCTGAGTAAATTGGTTTTATATGGAAGGTTTTGGGTTTTTTTACTTTCCTATTCTAGCACCATTTTCAAACTTTACCTTAACATCACAATCATTTTCAAATACCCAGCCATTCCAGACCTCACCTACACAGCCTGAGAATCTCTCCTGTCCTACCTCAAGTGCCTCATTTTTGACCCATCTTGTCCTGTTTAAATAGTCTTGACATTCTGGTGTATAAAACCAGATTCTACAAATTAGGTAAGGAAATAAATTTGACTTCAGATGCATTTCTTGCTGTTTGAATCTTTTGAGAAACTTGAGGTTTGATTTCAGAAATTTCTGAGAAGGCATAATCCAGCAGCAAGCAGAGATTCAGAGGAACATAGAGAAGAGCAACTGAGAATGAACAAAATGAATAGATCCTAACTATTAAACAAGGCTCTAAGCTCTCAATTCTCCAGAATGGTTTCGACAGAATCCATACATGGGATGTATTCAGCTCTGTTCAGCTATAGACTGCTGTTTTTAATAGAGGCTTTATATATTTGAAGTAAACAGCTTGTGCACAAGCAAGCCAGGAATGTCACATCTGCTGCTCCTATTGTATGACTTTCCTACACGAAAAAAGGCTATTTGTCCAAACTTATGTGCAATGTATAAGGCCAGAGCATTTAAAGCACAAAGACCATCGTGACATGTTCTATTCCCATCTGTCTACGCAAGCTTCAGATAAAAGTAATCTTGCTCTTGTTATCAAACGTTTTCTTCTATTGATCTTAAAGCTTACATAATCTTTTTGATTCGGACATGAAAATAAGGGAGGACAGTTCATGATACTTCTTTACTGAGCACGCTGATTGGTGAGATGAAACCGAACAACGATGATTGGAACTGAACTGCCGTTCTTGAAATTTCACTCCCTAATTTAACAGAACCAGTTTGGGGATTGACTAGTGCCACCTCCAACTGCACAGCATTTCAGAGGTGGGGCTGTTACCTTCTCCTGAAGGTGCAGAGGCAAGCACACCCAGGCTGTCAAGCTCCCCCTCGTGATAGAGTGCCAGCCGCTCCATCATGCGCCTCCGTGCTGGGTTGATGACAATCTGAGGAGCAGAGTCACCTGTGGAAAGAAAGACTAACACTAAGTGATAGCCTACCTGGATCATGAAATTCAGGCCCTTCACAGAAGAGCTGGATTAGTGTCTATCTCCTGGAGTAAACCAGATAAGAA